TGGCGGTGAGAATTACTTCTAGTGAATTATGAGTTCGATAGGCAAAATTTTAGACTCTGTTGCCGGAATACTGAAACGTTACTCAATTTTAAGTCGTGCTCAAATATCGTGCCATCTCTGTCATTTTACAAAGAATTTGTAGAGATAGAACTATACTTAAGCACGACTTAAAATTGAGTAGCGTTTCAGTATTCCGACATTCGTAATTTACTACTAAGATTTTTTTTTGGTTAACCGATGACAAAGCAAATAAAACTTTGCTCGACCAAGGAATCCAAAGTACGATCACTCAATTAATAGTTAAAATTAACAAATCAAATAAAAGCGAATTTTTAGAAAGACGATTTGGACTAGTGATAGTCCAAATCGCCTTTCGAACTAACGAGGTCAATTTAAGTAGATTTTTTTTATAAATGCATGTCACTCTCACCTCCCTAACCATAGGCACGGGCGCAGTCTCCCTCCTCCTCTCCTCAGTGATCCTCTCCATCTCCCTCTTCCTGTACTGCTGGAGCCTGTCAGCCTCCTGCCTCTCTGCAGACTTACGACGAGCCAGCTCCTCCTCATCACGCTGCATTTGGAAGGCCTGTTCCACCTGGAAAAGAATATTATTGTTTCATTAAAGATTAAAAGGTTTCTGAGACAGTGGGACATACAAGTAGACTCCTTCTTAAACTATCGGCAACGTACTTGTAACCCCCTGGGGTTCCGTGTGTCCATGGGCGACGCCGATTGCTTACCATCAGATGATCTGTCTGCTCGTGTGCCGACCATATTTCATAAAGAAAAAAATAAAAGATGATGGATAGTGATGGTCTACTTAAGATCTTTTGGTGGTCTACTTCCGCTACCGATGATCTTTTGATGATCTATTGGTGGTCTATTGCTTTACTGATGGCCTTTTGACGGTGTACTTACGCAATCGACGGTCTTATGCCGATCTATTGGTAGTCTACTGGTCTACTGATGGTCTTTTGATGGTCTACTGGTCTTTTGACGGTCTACTAATGGTCTTTTAACGGTCTACTGGGAGATTAAAGCTAAAATAAATTATACTTACAAGAGTGATCCTCTTCAATGCATTGAACTTGTCCTTCTGTGCGTCGATGGTTTCCTCCAGGTCTCGGTGGCGGTTGATCAGTTCTTCTACTTGAGCTACGCTCTCGCCATATTTGCCGTCGCGAACTAATGGTACTCTGAGGAGGAATTAATAATAAGTTTTTTAATTATTTATAAATAAAAATGGAATATATTGGTGCACAAAGCAGACATAATGCCTCCATTTTTAATGTAAAAAAATATTAAAAATTTGAAAATAGCTAATAAGTTTATATCAAAATTAATTTTAACAAAATAAAAATGGCAGTTGACAGCTTTTAGCCTGGAAGAATTGTCAAATATTCAATGTTATTCCTCAGTTAAAATTTATCTGAGCATTGAAAAATTAGCCCTTAGTCGAGTACCTATTCTACATCTAAAGGAAGAGAAATGCCATAGAAACTTATTTTTCATCATGGACATCAAGACCTTATTTATCAGAGAGTACTGGCCTTATTACGCCCTACTACTGAAAGGCAACTCAATTTTAGTCGTTTCCTCGGGTTTACGATACCCACGACAAGAGTAGCGGTGGCTATTCAAACAACATACCTGTTAGTAATCCAGTTATCCAGTGCGTCAGCGTCTCTCTTGAAGACCAGGGCATCCAGATGTTGTGTGTAGATCCTCTCCCTGTTGGTCCAGGCGGCGTCCAGGTGTTGCCGTCTACTGCGGAGTATGGACATCCTGTCCTCGATCTCGTTGGACATGAAATGGCCTTCTTTTACTAATTTCTCGCCTGTTGGGAGTTAAAAGGGATGTTTCATCAGTTCTTCCAGCAGAATACCAGCGCAAAGCCCTGTCTTGAACTTGCTGAACTGGGGGCTTACTCTTGAATCCAATCCCGATCGATCGACATTGGTATTGTGAAGTTTTGTACTCTTGAGTTGCAACACTAGCGCCAATTGCATCCGTATTGCGTGGATATTGAATGAACTAAATGGTATTGAGTTTGTCTTTATATTCCGTACTCTGAATGCTATTATAACAGCTACGATTGTGGTTGTATAGTGTTGACATTGAATAATTATTGAGATTTTATTGGATTGAAATTGCATTGACATTGAGGTTGGTTTCAAGAGTAAGCACCCAGGTCCCATTTCACTGCAGACTTAGGATATGAACGAATTTCACTTTTCGATTATCTTGCATTGCGTTTCGTCGTGTGAGTGATGTTAGGCCCAATTACCCCCCTTCCCTGTTACATGTATGTACATCACTAATTATAGTCAGAATTTTAATTAGATTCCAGATTTGACAATAGCTACTGTCATGTGAAATACGATACCACAAATAATAGTGTAGTGATGAACACAAAAATCGATAAACAATCAGTGTGTGTGTTTTATAATAAATGTTACAGAAAGTGACAGGATAGCGATAGCGATGACGGCGACAATTTATAAAATAACTTATTACCATAATACATCTATCTGTTTTATTTGTCATGTTCCTTCATGATTACATTTTTTTATTTATTTCACACAATTATAAAAGAAAAGTCTCAGATCGTTAATTAATCGTCAAAACTAAATTATCGGTTCAGAAATATTTAATTTCCTGATATACTTAGTTTACGGCATTAAAATTATAAACGAGAAGAATCGATCCAGAAATATTGCATTTCCATATCGAATAATTTCGCAACGTCACTATTTAGTACTTGTCATAACGTTGCAACACTGAAATTGTCAAATCTGGAATCGAATTAAAATTCCGAGTATAGTAAGTAGTGGCCCCCTCACTATAATGTGTTATATAAGGTAGGACACTCGTCAGTAAAGCCGCTGTCTACCTGTCATAATCTAGTGTGTGTACACGTCGTGCGCCCTACACATTATTGTAATAAATCCAAGTAAAATAAATCCGACTATAATTCATTAATCCACCAACATAACAGTCCCCTCAATCCCCCAATACCTCACAATCCTGATCCCAATCCCCAAAAGGCAGGTAACGCACTTGTAACGCGTGTGGTGTTTTAGGTGTCCATGGGCGACGCAGATTGCTTACCATCAGGTGATCCGTTCGCTCGTTCACCGACGTATCCCATAAAAGATGACTTACCATCACTGTACAGTGTCTGGAAGGCATCCTCCTTGGCCTCTATCTCGACCTTGATGTCCTGGTGCCTGGCCAGGAGTCGCTCCGCCCCCGACACGTCGGTGGCGAGGTCGGGCGCCGTCACACGGGCTAGGGTCTCGTTGGTCCATGCTCTGGTGAAAAATAGAAGAATTTTAGTCATTATTTGTTACTTATTAAATGCCTGTGACAGCCACTGTACGCAGGTCGCTTCCAATTTCGCGATGTGTCGTTTGAAGCCTCGTTCGAAACCTAATTAAAGCCGTCTGCTCGCGACTTCGTACGCGTAATCCCGTTTTTTCCCGTTCCCGTTCGTGATTTTCGGCAAAAAGTAAAAAAAAAATATTGGATAAAAGTATCTTATGTCGGTCTCCTGACCCTAAGCTACCTCCCCATCAATTTTTATCTAAATCGATTTACCAGTTTTTTGAGTTATAAGTAGTGCAAATAACACGACTTCATTAAATATACATATATATAGAATAGCTACTTCCGCGCGTTTTCACACGCTCTGGTCAGCTCCTATTGGTCGTAGCGTGATGTTTTATAACCTATAGCCATCCTCGATAAATGCGCTATCCAACACAAAAAGAATTATTCAATTTGAACCAGTAGTTTCGGAGATTAGCGCGTTCAAACAAACTCATCAGCTTTATATAATAGCATAAGAGTATATAAGTATATATAAGATTATTTCAATTCTAAATAAATATTAAATAATTGTTTTAAACCCAAAAATTTTCTAAAATACTCACAGTAATTCCTGGTAAGTGTCGAAGTAAGCCTGCAGCTGTCCAGCCAGTTCCAGCTGGTGATTGCATTGATCAGCTCGCTGTACCAACGCCTGCAGGGACTCGGTGACATCCTCCAATTTGGCGGACACGTGTTCCTTCGCGTCTGGGAATGCTGTACCCAGCCTGGAGAGTAAAGGTAAAGGTTTAGTTTGTGGAGGGTGTCTTTTTAACATTGACTTTGGAGTTTGAAATAGGCGTTCAAGTTTAATGTTGTGTAAGTTTGACTTTGATTTTTGATGTTAACTTTGACATTTGATATTGAATTTGACTTGGATCTTAGGTTATAATAATATGTAATTTGACTTTATTTAGTAAAATGATATTCACACACTTTGACTTTGACTTTAAATGCAAATTTTGACATTCAACTAATATTTTAACAAAAATCAAGTATACATGACATTTTTATTACAAAAAACACAACTTTTGACCATTGACCTTTGACCTTTGACCTATGACCTTCAAACTTCGACGTACCTCTCAGCCTCCTCCTGCAGTTTATCATGAGCTGCCTTAATAGCATCCAGATCAGCCCTCAGAGCATGAAGACTTCTCTTCTGTGCGTGAAGCTCATGTAGTGACCGAGGTGGTAGGGCTTCGCTGCCGAGGGCGGAGTCCTTCTCAGCAACCCAGGCGGCTGTCTCTTCGGCTGAGCGGTCGAATTCGTGGACTTGGCGGGCACCTGCTAACGCCTGTGGGGGGAAAAGGTGATATATGAATTGATGTTGAATTTGACTTTGACTTTGACATTGGACTTATATCTGATTATGATTTTGATTTCGTCATTAGACATTTAGCTTTGCCTGGATTGACTTTGGCTTCGAAATCGAGTATTTGACTTTTACATAAACTTTTTGATATTTGACTTTGAGAACTGATGTTAATATTTGATTATCATATTTGACTATAATATAACATTTGATATTTGATCTTAACATTTGACTTTAACATACAACCCGAACTTTTGATATTTTGAAATTTTAATTTAATTTAATTCTAAACCTCTAAATTTTTTAACTTTCTCATGCTAAAACAACTCCTTACCTCCTGCCTAGCCAGCGCCAATTCCTTAAGATCATCCCACAGTCCCTTGATGTCATCTATCCTCTGTTTCACTCTGTCTGCCTCTGGCGTATTTTCTTCTAGAAGTACAGTGCCTGCTTCACAGACTCCTTCTATCCTACCCTCGTTTGCTAGAAGAAGAACGGAAGAACGTGTTAATTGTAACATCATCATCGTCAATAGCTATAAGAGTATTACTGCTGAACATAGGCCTCCCCAATGACTTCCAGATAGGCCGGTTGGAAGCCAATAAGCCTATAAGTGGCCACTGATAACCAAAAGCCTCTACTCACACGGAGAAGGTTTGAGCATTAACTAACCACCACTCTTGCTCAATGCGGGATGGCGATTTCAAACTTATAATTAGAAATTATAAGCCCAGGGTTTCCTCATGATGTTTTCCTTCACCGTTTGTAAGTAGTCTTTGTTTAAGGGGGGAAATCATCGTGTGACTGCTCCCGCCTGGGTGAGGCGGGAGGGAGTATCAGACTCTTACTGACTAAAAACCACCCCGTTCCTACTCCTACTCGTCGAGTCGGAGCCCCGGTAACCCGTTAGGTTCTCCGCGACTGAAAGTAGTGTCTATGATAATATTTTCCCCATGCTTCCCCCCAAATCCCTTCCCTCTTACCTTGTAACTGAGCGAGGAAGTTATCGAACGCTTGCTGCAATGTCTCGACATGTTCGACGTCGAGTCCGTACTCCTCGCTGGCAGCCGTCGTCATCTGTTCACTGATCCATTCCTGTACTTCCTCACACTCTTGGACGAACCTGGAGAGGGGAGGAGTAGGGTTAATATTTATAGTTAAAACATGATTTATAGCATAAGCCTGTAAACGCGCAGACGGATCACCTGATCGTAAGCAATCGGCGTCGCCCATAGACACCTGGAACACCAGAGGCGTTACAAGTGCATTACCGGCATTTGGGGAATAGGAATTTCAGGATTGATGGGGATTCAGAGATTGGGGAGAGTGGGGAAGGGGAGGGGTAATTGGGCCTCCGGTAACCTCACTCACATGACGAAATACCACGCAAGCGTTGTTTCACGTCGGTTTTCTGCTCGGCCGTGGTATCACTCCGGTCGAGTAGGTACATTTTTTGAATGAATGAATGAATGAATGTCATATATTATTTCATTCATGCAGAAGACTCGATCTAACAACAGGTTGTTTCACATGGGGATCGAACCCGCGAACCGTTACGCAACAGCTGGTTACCTAGCCACTACGCCAACCGTACACTTTTTCTGTAATCCACAAATTATTGGTTCTGCTCTGGGTGTGACGCACCCAGGATATAGTTGGACGATACTCATCATCACGTCTTTTATCCCCGAAGTGGTGGCAGTAGGTGCACAATGTAACACCCACATTTCACTATTTATGTTATGAGTCCCATGTAATAGGGAGTGAGTCTATTGCCATATACCGGGCACATTTCCAGGCTCGGTGCTAAAACCCAGCATTAATTGGATCATTGGCTCCCTTTTTTGAAACAAGTATAAGTAACTTACTTGAAATATTTCAAGCTCTGTTGCAGCCGCTGTTGTCGCTTGGCGGAGAGTAGTTTCATCTCTTCATGCATCGTCTTCAGCTCGGCTATGCGCTTCTGTAGCTGATCACCGTCGATCGTAGAACGTTCCTGTACAAATATTCACTTTGAAAAATAACGAAATTTTGTATGATAACTATCGGTTCTAAATTTTGCACCATTCTGTTTTAATATTGAATAACTGATTTAAATAAATAAAATTGAAAGAATACAATTGCTTTTTGCTAACAAGAAAAAAATATACATATCTTATATAGGGATGATGACAGGGTACGAAAATTTAGTCCGTAAGTTAGGTAATGAAAAAAATATTATACACGTATTTTTTTATTTTTTCGTATAATAAAATGATACTTATATAAAACGAATCAAAGTTTAGGAGTGTGAGCTAAAACATCATTTCTACGTATAAAATGTACATAGAAGTGACGTCACGCGACATTTCAAATCAATATATCGTCGAAAGTATTCGAGCATATACCGGGCACAATTCCAGACTCCGTGCTACTACTGATATTTTTTTAAACCCAGTAATACTTTGGCAGACCCGGAAATCGAACCCGAGCCCCCTAGGCAGTCGCACTTGCGACCACTCAGCCAACGAGGCAGTGTGAAAAAAAAAGTATAACATATATCTAATTCTGAAAAAACGGTATCAAAATCAGTTTAGCCATTCGCGGGCATACATCCTTTGTTTTTGTAAAGTCGGTAAAAATAACTCACCACCAAACCGGCCGCAGTTTTCTCCAACTTGACAATAGTGGCGTCGAACCCAGTGACCTCCCGTTGCAGGGCGTCCAGTCTCCTGACGAGCGCCAATGCTGAATCCTCGTCCCGTCCTACATCGCCTGATACGAGCGCTACACGACGTTCTAAAAGCCAGGCTTCTGCTTCTGTTATTTCTGAGATAAGCTGTTGAAGATGACAAACAAATTAGTATTAACATAACATAACATCACGCCTTTTATCCCCGAAGGGGTAGGCAGAGGTGCACATTACGGCACTGTAAAATGTAGCACCCACTTTTCAGTATTTATGTTATGAGTCCCATGTAATAGGGGGTGAGCCTATTGCCATATACCGGGCACAATTCCAGTCGTAAGGTGCTCCTTCACCGGGAACATTCGCGGGTAATGTAACATTACAGATCTGAGCATTACATTAGTGAAGGAGGAGAACCGAGCACTACAATGCGCACCTTGTAATGATACAATGTGTAATATCTTGATACAACTTGTAACATCAATGCGCTCCACTTCCCCCCGCCCCCCGCCCGCCCGCTTCATCTGACATCTTGTTATGAAATGCTCAAAGTCGAATCAATATGTTACATTACACGCAAATGCTCGTTAGTCAGGGAGGTATTATTGTAATGTAATGCCTAAAGTCGAATCTATAATGTTACATTACAAGTGTATGCTCCCGGTGAGGAGCACCATTATGTATTTAGAGTTCAAAATTAAAACTTAAGTTGCCAAGCAATGGTTTTAAAATAACAAGATTTTATCTTTATATATATATAATTCTTCTTTGAGTGTATATGTCACTGAACTTCTCTCAAACGTCCGGACCGATTTTGATGAAATTTTTGTGCGTGTTCAAGGGGATCTGGGAATAGTTTAGATTCACAGATCAGCCCGGCAGATGGCGCTGCAGTCGAAGTCTAGGTTATTTATCCTAAACCTTGAATGAATTTTTGTTTATACATTCAAGTGGATATGCAGGACGACGTCTGTCGGGTCCGCTAGTTTTATTTAAGTTTTTATTTGAGTTCAAAATAAATAAATAAGAATCACGACAAACCTGTAACAATTCACAGCGGTCGCGTATAAGCGCGGTCCTGATGGCGGCGGCGTCGACCAACGCGCGATGTGCGGCGGCTAGGTCGCGTGATCGCGCGTCTAAAGCCGCCGACGCGAAGTGACCGCGGCGCGATAGTTGACCGGCGCGAGTTACTAACGCCTTTATAATTGGTTCCCTGTGAATAAAAAAATATATATTTAAACAAGTTTTTAACCGATTTCGAAAAAGGAAGGTTTTTTTTTATGGTATAAGCCGTAAACGAGCAGACGGATCACCTGATGGTAAGCGATCGGCGTCGCCCATGGACACCTGGAACACCAGAGGCGTTACAAGTGCGTTACCGGCCTTTTGGGGGTTTGGAGTTTGAGGGTCGATGGGGATTCAGGGATTGGGGAAGGGGAGGGTATTTGGGCCTCCGGTAACCTCACTCACACGACGAAACACAACGCAAGCGTTGTTTCACGTCGTTTTTGTGCTCGGCCGTGATATCACTGGCTCTCCCACGTACAGTACAGGTACAGTAAAAAACGCATGTCAATCATTACTTATAGTATTTGACAGGATGGACAACAAATGTTTGACAGATACGAAACAATGTAACATTAGGGGAAAATGATTGGTCAATAATTATAATTATTTTTTCATTATTTTTAATTCAAATAGAAAATCTTCAGTTCTCTGTCAAATATGTAATCCCTTAGTCGGGTATATGACACCCATGGGAAGAGTAACGATGGTGTTATACAATATGAAAATTATAACATCGACTTTTCACTATTTATGTTATCAGTCCCATGTAATAGGGGGTGAGCCTATTGCCATATACCGGGCACAAGGCTGTGTTATAAATTTTAGGAAATCCAAAAAGACACCTAAAAGATAATAATTTTAAAGAGAACAATTACCTTGTAAGTAATTCAGCTTCCAAAGCAAGATGCTTCTTGAGCATTGCTTGTGCTTCGGCGAGCGTCGAACCTGCTTCTTCTTGTCTTACTGCCGACTCGCGCTCTCGTAACCTGTTAAGGTAAGAATATTGTCAATATTATAATGCCCTGCTCGGCTTCTATTTATTATAGCGTGATGTTTTATAACACTAAAGCCTTCCTTAATAAATAGACTATTCAACACAAGAATATTTTTCAAATTGAACCACAGATGGGTTCTTCCTCATGAGCAGCGTGCGCGGTCGCGGCAGTACTACTAAACTAGTAGAGTTTTTCTCAGTATATTCACGTGAGTAACCCGCGATTTTAGTTAATTTAGTATGTCTCACGATAGTTATTCTAATTACAAGTTTGAAATCGGAAACATTGAGCAACCGTTGCGATTAATCCTTCATTACTTCTCAAAGTCAAAGTCAAAGTCAAAGCATTTATTTCAATTAACTCGTCGAGTACCGTCATTATAGACACAATTATAGAACAATAGGTTGCGGTCACCGGTGTCCTCGCGGTGTTTGACAGTTTAAACCATAGTTTGGTACTTTTAACGTCAACAAATACAAAATAAATAATAGTCTGTCAGTCAGTCCGTCAGTGAAGCTAGGTGAAGCTAGGTGCTCATTCCAAAATGTAGATTCGAATGTAGAAGAACGAGCAAGAAACTCCATTCGTTACTCTTTTTTAAAAAAGTATGTTCTACAATGTCTCAGTGTGAAAAGAGGCCTTTGATCGGTAGAGGGCACTTGTAAGCTGATATGTATGTTGATAGTAGGTGTATGTATGAACTAGCTTTTACCCGTGGCTTCGCTCGCGTCACAAAAGGATAAAAAGCCAATATGACATATACCAATACACAGCGCCATCTATACCAATACTTTTGATTTCCCTCGGGAATACCAAATTTTTCGGGGATAAAAAGTACCCTATTATTTAATCCGGACTTCTAACTTTACGTCTTCAAAAATTCAAAGCAATCGGTTTTGTAGTTATGGCGTGAAAGCGGAACAAACAAACAAACAAACAAACAAATACACTTTCCGATTTATAATATTAGTAAGGATAATGCTTACCAGCGGAACTCCTCATCAGCGTCTCTGTCCCAGCGATGTAGTAGCGCAGCGTCCTCCAGGTTGTCGCGACGGATCTGCATCGGCTCTTGAAGCTGACGGTATCTGTGTAGGAACGTTGTAGTTTAATTACAATCACTACATAGTATAAAACAAAGTCGCTATCCCCCGTCTGTCTGTCCCTATGTATGCTTAGATCTTTAAAACTACGCAACGGATTGATGCGGTTTTCTTTAATAGATAGAGTGATTCTTAAGGGAGGTTTATATGTATAACACATGCATATTGCACCCGTGCGAAGCCGGGGCGGGTCGCTAGTAAAATAATAATGTAAATTACACACAGCGCCTTTTAGTATTTTTTTTTAAGGGGGGATAATCATCGAATGACTGCTCCCGCCTGGGTGAGGCGGAAGGGAGTGTCAGACTCTTACTGACTAAAAACCACCCCGTTCCTTCTCCTGCACGTCGAGCCGGAGCCCCGGTTACCCGTTAGGTTCTCCGCGACTCCGAATCGGGTCTGTCCCTATGTATGCTTAGATCTTTAAAACTACGCAACGGATTGATGCGGTTTTCTTTAATAGATAGAGTGATTCTTAAGGGAGGTTTATATGTATAACACATGCATATTGCACCCGTGCGAAGCCGGGGCGGGTCGCTAGTAAAATAATAATGTAAATTACACACAGCGCCTTTTAGTATTTTTTTTTAAGGGGGGATAATCATCGAATGACTGCTCCCGCCTGGGTGAGGCGGAAGGGAGTGTCAGACTCTTACTGACTAAAAACCACCCCGTTCCTTCTCCTGCACGTCGAGCCGGAGCCCCGGTTACCCGTTAGGTTCTCCGCGACTAGCGCCTTTTACTACCTCTATAATGTATCCATAGCAACTACAACTACAAACGACTATTGTGTACTTGCCAACTAGTCAAATTCAATACTTTTTTTCGAACTGTCAAAAACGAGAGTATTCTATGAATTTTGTACGAGATTGTGTATTGTGACGTCACGTTTTTTAGCGTCAAACAGCGTACTTATTTGTTAAAAAATTTGCTGGAAATATACTAAAATTAAATTGGTCATAAAATCAATTTTCATTTTTCAAATGTTTGTAAGAATAATTTTTCTTTTGTAGTCTATGTTTAGCAAATGAGATAGTATGGAGAGGAAAATAAATGAAAAAATAATAAAAAAACTCTTCGAAATTCAGAAACCTCACCTCTTAACAGCATGGTCAGCCTTCTTCAGTATTTCATCAGCCATGAAATGGTTGCTGTCTGCCAGCTGCCTGGCATTGTCGGCCAGTTGCGTGGCAGAGTCCGTCTTACTCGACACTTGTTGTTCCAGCCTGGAGTGACGCTTCAGCAGCGCCGTGACTGAGGCTAGGTCTTTGCCTGGACAAAAGGAGGTTTTATAGTCATTATAAATAGGAGTGTGTGTGGTTTAAAATTACTTTTTTAGTAATTTTTTTATAGTATATTAGCCGGTAAACGAGCAGACAGATCAACTAATGGTAAGCAATCGGCGTCGCCCACGGATACTCGAAACACCAGAGGTATTACAAGTGCGTTACCGGCCTTTTGGGAATTGGGAATTTGAGGATTGTGGAGGATTCGAGGATTCGGGAGACGGGGACTACGGAGGGGGGTAATTGGGCCTCCGGTAACCTCACTCACACGACGAAACACAACACAACCATTGCTTCACGTCGGTTTTCTGTTCGGCCGTGGTATCACTCCGGTCGAGCCGACCCATTCGTGCGGCGGGAGGGAGTGTCAGACTCTTACTGACTAAAAACCACCCCGTTCCTTCTCCTGCACTTTGAGTCGGAGCCCCGGCAACCCGTTAAGTCCTCAGTTCCGTATCAGATTAGGAAGTGATGGCCATGCACTGTTCTATACTCCGTTCATTGAGATGTTGGAAACCTAATGAGATTTTAACAGACAAAACCAGGATTTTCCAGTCTTTTAAAAAATCTTAGTAATACCGCTGCATAGCATCTGTGGCGACACATGGTACATTCTAACGGATGACGTCATAAAAATCCTACATCGCACATGCGAAGTTTACATTGGATTTAACACGGATAGAAAATCCCAACGAACAACTGTTGGGCAGAAAGCCCGCCAGGCACGATCACCTCGCCTGGTCGGAGGATCCTCCTTTTCCGATATTAGGGAACTATACTCTCTGTTCCCTAAACATCATTAGTATCAATCTAGGAAATACACAATAGAGCAGCCACACACTTGTAACGCCACTAGTGTTCCAGGTGTCCATGGGCGACGTCGATTGCTTACCATCAGGTGATCCGTCTGCTCGTTTACCGACCTATCCTAGTCCGTTAAAGATAA